CTATGACACAGATAAAGTTCTTACCTATGCGTTGTGAAATTTTGAAAATTCTATTATAAATATTGAGGGAGAACAGTTGTCCCGCGCTAAACAGATTTTGCTGTGTTATACGCTTGTAAGACGGAGACAACACATGCGGGTGTGGCGTCCTCTTAAGATATATTATTTATTATAAATTAAAATACTCAATTATATTAATGATCCATTTTATAGAGCTTTTTTTTCCTRTTAGAACCAACAGCAGATGAGGATCTGTTTGCACAATACTACTCCTCTGCTGCCATCGTTTATTGATGAAAAATTTAGATAGTCACAATACATATAGCAAAATCACATAGGTACAACTAGTCTATAATCGGTCTATACTTCATTTTCTCGGCCCGATTTCACGCGCACCCGCCGGCCTGGCATCTCGTTCTGATTAACCTGATTACTCAAACGTTTGGAGCGGCTCTTCCTTCCATCTCTGCTAGCCTTGCATTTTGYTYCTTGCAGCTGAGTATACTTCTAACCATATCATAAAAGGCCTGCGTGGCGCAATTTTATATAGCTTACCTTAGTTGACCAATTGTCAATAGTTGTTAATACACCTTGATACACGAACKGTTTCGATTAGTTCTACCAATAATATTGGTACAAGCAGGCTGCTTATCTGTTTGTAGACAATTTATTTAATATTTAATTGTTTTTCGTAAAACTATTTTGGTAACTATATACTTAACATCGATTAGATTTTATTGACTCCGCCAAATTTTYATGCCAGTATTTGATGTAGTATTTTTTAAACATTTAATAGAGTATAATATTATTCTCTTACGTATTATCATTAAATTATGTTAAGTTTTATAATAACAGCTAATACCCATACACTTCATTGCCCGATAAAAATACCAACTCTATATATGATTCAAAACTTGAGTTTCATTCATCGTTTAATACCTGTAACTTCTAGTTAGTGAGGTTCAAAACTTTCTACCTGTAGCTTCTAGTTAGTGAGGTTCAAAACTTTCCGTGACAAATTCCCGTGGATTTACCTTATCTCAATCTCCATTAGAGATTTTTAACACAGTCATTTAAAATACAWGACCAAAATGTTTTAACTTTGTAAAAGTGAAACAATTTTTGAAATTGGTACCTCATAAAAAATTGCTAATTTTTATAACAAACGGCCTCAACAAACAATAAACTGGTAAATTTGAAAGCCAGTTTTAAAATATTTTAACRAAGAAAAAATAAAAATTTAATGGAAAAAAAAACCCCCAAAATCGAAAGAGGGGTACAGGAAATTATTTTCAATTTAATAACAATGCTCATTAACTTTATTAATTATGAAAGAGAGACGAGTACACAACTACATTGTAAAATGTGGGAAATGYCCCTGAATAATTAATATAGATATAGATACAGATTTACAAAATTCATCTGAATTACTAATAAATATGGATTTGAATTAGCAATAAAGTTAGATAATCCATCCTTATATTATATTACTATCCCCATAATGGAATGTTAATTCTCAAAAACAGACATTTTAATTAAACTTAAAATCCCTATTCGTGAATATAAATCGAGTTGGAATCTATTCCTATACATACCAGCGCATTTCAAATTCCAAAATTCGACATGTATGATAAACTCARAAAAACATACATGGTATAGTAAATACAAACAATAATGAACATATTAAAATAATTTAAAGCATACCTAGGACTCCAACATTGCGATCCCACAATAACAGATTTATGTTACACACCAAMATTTTCCTCAGACATTACTCTAACGTTCAACACCAAGATGTGTATTAGAAGCAATTTAAAAAAAATTACCTTTAGAATAAATAAATAAATACTGTTATTTCCAGTTCGTAACGCAAGTTAATAACGGAAAAACGATTACAAAGCAAATTGGGGTAAATACTTATGCAATACAAAATTCACAATCGACATTATTTATGAAAAAAAGAAGTAGGAAACTCAACAGTGATTCAACAAATTTATATTAAACACGACTTATAAAAATAAAGTTACCYTGTGATTATGAATTAATAWGAAATGAGAAAAAAWTTTTAACTAAAATGTACCTATGCGAATTAGGTAATACTAATTACRGCGAGACGTCTCACAAGCTCCCGAGTTAAGGAAACGGGAACTTTTTTTGTTTGTATAAGTCTTCCTCTTTATTAAAATGTTTTCGGTGAAAATTATTAATAAGTAGGTGCCTATATATGTAYTTGCACAACCATTTACTTAATTTGTGAAAAAACGCATTCAAATGTCGAATGACTAAATGTGTAG